GTGGATACGTGTGCAGAAAACTAGAACTGTGGGAAACTGCACTGGAGAGTTTCGAACGCGCACTGCAACTGTGCCCTCCATGCAACGGTGTTCAACGAGCTAAAGTTCATACGTATCTAGGTTGTACATACGAAAGTCAAAAAAAATGGAGTAAAGCCTTGGAATGCCTGCTCCAAGCTCTTGAAATGATCGAAGCAGATTCGAAGATTCTCGAAGAAGCGCAAAAGGGCCCGTTGGTCGAAATTATTTATCGGCACTTGTCAGCCGTCTATCACGCTTTGGAAAACTTAGAAACGGCGGCAATTTACAAAGAAAAGGCAGTTGTTGAACTGAAGCGCTTAACCATATGGGGTCTAGTAAAAAGTTGGCCAAATGACTGCGAAGGCACCACACTAGATCTTCTAGTAGATCAGTTCATGTGGAACACGATAGAATGGAAATCCTGTCCGGACGTTCTACTCCTTTGAATCAGAGAGACAGCTTGCACTTGTTCTTTGGACAGTTCCGTTGATAAGGAAGTGATATTTAGTTCATTGTTGACTAATTCATGCACACTGGCGTTTATTCTATTTCAATACAGCTTTGCTTTCTTCGATAGCTAGCAGTATTTATTGGTCATGATCTATCACACTGCGTCGAATATAATCCTAAGAAGTATTGTCCCCCTTTCGACTTTCATGCAGAAGCCGTATTCTTCATGAGTTTATTCCTTAAGCCCCAATTTTAATTCTCTTTTCATTTTTTCTCTTTACATTGAGTAATTAATCTTCCACTATAGCAAACTAGATGCCAACTACGCTATCATGAAGATTGGAAAGACGGCTCCACTCCTCTGGCCGATACTGATGCTTTAAGGAAAAGGAAAAAGTTGTTTCGGAAATGGGTTTCGATGAGTTCAAATCCGTTCTTCGGTTAGTCTCGTCGATTTAGGTCCGAACTTTGGCTCGAAGTAAGTTATAAAGCGCATATAATATTTTACGTACTGTCTTTAATTAACGCTTACTTTAACAGAGACAATCATTCCCAGCTCCTCTTTCTTTGTACAGCCAATGTCCTCTGATAAATCGACTGATGAATATTAAACGCACTAATCGTAGTAAAAGAGTTAGGGGCGTTCTTTATGCAAAGCAACGACACAATTCAGAAAAAGAGTAATTATTCCATCTTGCTTAATTTAATGGTCTCTCTCCCCGTCGAAGACATAAAGGAATATGAGCGTACAGACATAAAGAGAATCGATCGACAGCTATATTTTTAGCACTTGTCTCGCTTGTCATCCTCGAAGCGCTGGACAAATAATAGAATGATTTATTTTCTCAGGAGTGTCACGCGCCTGATACTTTGGACTCAGAGTGTTTTTGCACCATCGTATCTTCTTTGTGACATTAGAGTCAAGAAAGAGTGAAAGCTTCGTCCTTCTTTCGAAAAAGGGAGCTTTTGAAAGGAGTATATACTTAGTTCTTTTTTATGAATTCGGAAACTATAAGGAAGAAATTATTTTGACTTGAAAAAAAAAGCCTGACTATAGTAGAACCCAACGACAAAGAAGTCACCGACATGAAGTGAGAAGGGGAGATGAGCCAGTCCTGGCACAGGGGACCGCGTGTTTTTTATGTGATGGTTGTTGTGAAGACAAAAGGAACAAAAAAAACCAAGGGGTAAAAAGCTGATTTTTTGAAGTTTTTTGAGGTAAATTGAAGTTTTTTCAAGTTTTTGGAGGTTTTTCGAGGTTTTTGTGGTTTTTCGCAAAAATATTTTTCCGAAGTTAATCAAGGCCTAGAGACATGCTAAAAGACTGTTTATAACTTTCCCATCGAAATAAACTGGAGTGACTTTGTTTTGTAAAGACCAATACGGTGATTCTTGGTTTTAACGGATATTTATTTTCCTTCAACGTCCTCCCCGGACTATATCATTACAATCAAAACTAACAACTTTTCATTAAAACTTCCAGAGCTACATCTACATGGCACTTAGAAAAACTGATTTTTATTCGGAGGTTACATACAGACACGGAGCCTACAGACACGGATGGAGAGTTTTAGCTGGCTATCAGAATTACACTATCAGACTTTATTCTTTCTCGAGAGCAAATATAAAAAGGACCTATTAAAATGTCCCCTCTTAAGTTTGTTTGTGAGCCTGTAAAACTACATAACCATCCATTGATATTCAAAACCGACAGCATGTAAACAGGTATTTTCAATACTCCACAAATTTAGTATTATGCTCTTGGTAAAGTAAACTAAGCCATAACGAGACTACGTCCCGATTCAGGGACCACGTCAAAGAGTTTCATTTCACGCGTCGGAGACCGGGACCAAAAACGTTTTGTCGGGATCAAGATTTTCCATGGAAATCGGAGCACACCAAAAAAGTCAAAATGTTATGCTTTAATGTAAACAAATGTAGAAGCTAGAGATTGGTTTAAAGCATCTGGGCTACTTTCTAGACAAAGCTAAGAAAACGCTGTCTCTTCTCTGGTGAAATTTACATACACCTTGCTTGTTAAAACGCTCTCTACAATATAGTTGGTATTTCAAAAATTTTCTGCTATAGGGGACTTGTGTATAACGACTAGTGCAACAAATCTGTCGCTATCCTCGATAAGCAATAAAATATTTTTCTATGCGTGAACTTGCTTGGACAAGAAGATACCAAAATCTTCGCTCTAAATCGAGTTATATACTATCCAGATGATTTTGATTTCGCGTTTGGTCGTATATTTGGAATATATACATTAAAAAATAAAGACATGCTTGAACTGGAAAAGTAATTTTTTAAAAAGTAGTTTATTTTCTGTACCGTAGTATAAATAAACCAGGGATTGTTGCTTTTTACGTGGTGAGTTTTTGAATTATTCCATAAATAATCCGATTATTCATCAATCACCTTTCAATATCAAAGCGTGTGCTGATATTCCAGCTCTACGACGAATCATAGAAAAAGAAAAACTTGTTGGCGAACCGTGCAATCCATTGTATTCACCAAAGATTATTAATTTACTATATAGATGGTTTGCTTATATCCCGTTCTGGTCATGTATAATGACTGATATCTTTGAAAGGTATGTTTCTTATAGTAGACACAAAAAATAGCGGCGACATAGTCATTCACTGACTGCGAATGAATGAGTGAGAGTGTCATCGTTATTTTTCATGTTTGGTATATCCATTGTAATTGCTATTCTTATCATTTAGATACGCTAAAGATGGAAAAAATGTGCCAACAAGTGATTGGGTATTTGGACATGGACGAGTTTCAAATGCTACAGTCGAGACATATTTTCGTACTGTGAAATCATCTGTTCTCGGACAAAAGACCAATCTTCGACCTACTGACTTTTTAATGCAAACTTATTCGCATACACTGTCGCGTATGAAAGGTGATAAATTTGGTGTCCCTCAATCCTCACGTGGTAGAAAAAAAGCAGATGATTTGAATGCGAAAGAAACATGGCGGCGTCGTGTTCAGTCAAAGACAAAAAATGGTCGTCGTGGATATTATTTTAGTGATGAAGTGAGCCAGACAGATGCATGTAAACTATCGTGAGTTATTTTCTTGATATTTCGAAAACACTTCCGACAATTTATATAATTTAGTAAGGGAAAAATGGATGAACAAAGAATTACCATTAATGACAGTTCTATTCCAGCAAAAAAACTTCATTCTCCTGTTAATACGTCGACAGATGTCAAGTACGTATCATGTCAATTACTTGAAATTGATTATTCGAGACTAATCTTTTGCACTAATTTCAGAGATGTACAGTCAGATTCATCAAGTGATGATATTGCTGGTCACTCATTTGGATTTGCCGTCATGCCATCGAATATGCTTAAGGCAATGGACGAAAATATTGTTGATTCTAAAATTGTTTTACCCTCGTCACCATTCGTTAATCGTGATGCCGCATCGACTAAGTCTTCAGATTCGTCTGAAAATATTTTTTCCGCATTATTAACTGCCACCGATGCTAGCGACCTCGACAACGTTTACAACAACAACGATGAAGGACGAAATGCTCGACGACCTATAAAAAATTCAAGCGATATTAACGACTTTGCCTTCAATTTGAATAGTCCTTGCTCATCACCAGCATTTTCTCCTAAACGTTCACATCTTACATCTGACAGCAGCTATTCTTTGTCCAAGGAAAAAATCCCAACAACATCTGAGGGGTTCTGGTGATTTTTGTACCGTTTTTAAAGAGAAAAATGATCCAAAATGAAAGTGTCCAAGAAAGTATTTTAACACTGTAGATTTATAAAGGGTACTTGAAAGTCTAGAGAAAACTCTGTTTCCAAACTGCCAAGCCCTTCTCAGCCCAAATCCTGGTTGTTCACTTTTTGACTCAGGATCGAAAATGCGATTTTCTCTGCTTTTCAGCTAAAAGGGCATAACTGAGCTTAAAATGTATTGAAACATAGGTTTTCACATCTGCCCTATCAACTGGCATCATTAAAAAATGGTTTTTGACAATTTCTAACCTTAGGTCTCTAGAAATCCAGGTTTTCTGGAAATCCTTTGCTGAGCTGGTTTTCAGAAAACTGAGTCGACCATTCCATTCAGGGTGTCAAAATACGTATAATCGTATAATATGAGGCTTTATGTACTAGCCAAAACAATTCTAGAGATATGTTTGGGGGTGGGACAAAAGTTAGAGGTGGGACATTTTGATGTATTTTTCAAATTTCTTCTTTTAGAAAGAAGCTGAAGCCTTGCTATTTACAGCATAACTGGTGCTACCCATTTGACATATATGGTAAAAAAACGAGTTCTCAATTCCATGTAGTTCGGTCAGGGGAGAGTCAAAAAGGGGTGGGACAAATTGTATGTCACAAGCTACTGGACGTCAGTAAAATGTCAATTACTCAAAAACGAAAAAAGCTAGCAACTTGCGGTTTTCAACAATCTACAGTGCCTACTTTGGTAAATCCTTTCATAGAAAAATATTTGACTTAAAGTGCTTATTGGCTGCGCAGAAGACTCAAAAGGGGGTGGGACACGATTTTTGAACTTTTCGAGGACCAGAAATTTCATCGAAGTTTTCACAGAAACTAAAAGAGATTAGGCAAAACTAAGACTGCAGATTGACAGAGCAGGTAAAATACTGCACAAAAAGCAAAAAAGATTTTGTTCCACTGCCCCTTAAGAAAAGAAAAATGTTAATTAAGAAAAAAGAACGTGCAGGAACCACCAAGAAAAGAAAGGAAAAAGAACCCAAAAACAAAGTGTTTTGCTTACTGTACACTAAGAAAATAAGACAGAAAAGAGATCTTAGCAGTATATATAGAGTAAAGTGTCCGGAATAAAATGGCATAAGCTTCTAAAAGTTCGATTTAGTATTAACGGAGAACCATGCATTTCCATTAGCTTAAATCGAACGGTACAAAAATCACCAGAATCACTCATCTAGACGAAAACGAGTCAAGTCTTCGCCAACAAATTCAATCAAAAATCGGAATCTACCATTCAGCCGAGAATATTGTACAACCACTATTGGAAATCTCAAGCTCACGTAGCCACCATCCGGGATCAAATGAATATAATCCGGGTGAATATTTTTCGGTATTTCATACTTGTCCACTCGATACGGGCTTATTCGTTCTTTATCATGCGTACAAAGCTGGAACCGATGACTTCTGTCAGCTTTTCGAAATCGATACTCTTGAAATCTATACACCGTACGTTTCAATTGGTCGAAAGTAATGGATGGAATAGCGCTCGTCTCTATTGGCTCACCGAAAAAAAACTTCTCAAAGAGAAAACAAAAGACGGAAAATAGGACCTTAAAAGTACCATGGATGAAGTTGTTTTTAAATTTGTTAAACCAATGCAAACTTTTCCAATCCAGTCCAAATGTACTTGTACCGCTTGTCCGAAACCACTACGCGAACATACGAGTATGGAAATCTCGTTAACGTAAGTTACTATGAAATGAAAATTACTATTTGAGAAGGAAATCAAGCTTTACAGTTGAAAGAACAATGTCATTCTTCAATGAACTATGTGACAAGAAGAAGTATAAACGCTGGCAAGGCACATTCGTTTCATTTTAATTGCTGCTCCAACATCTCTGAAAGACAATGAGAAAAAGAGAACGTGTATACATATATGAGTGAATTGCAAGCCATTTGTACCGTTTGCACGGAAAAAATGGTTCTCCTGCAGTTGTTAATCAAACTTGACGATTTCTATAGGGTATATTACCCATACCCATGGCTAGTTCGTCCACTAAGATTGGCCTAACAACTGCTAGAGATTTCGAGATTTTTAAAAAATAATGTCAGTTTTTCATCAAAATTTCAAG